TGCGGCCCCGCCCCAGCCTCCCCACCACCTTCATCACCTCACGCTCCGGTACCGCCCCCTCCCACCAATCGGACAGCTCCGGCCACGCCCCCGGGCGCTAGCCCGCCGCCTATGAGCAACTACAGCTCGGTCGGGAGCGGCGCCGGCCAATCACAGAGGCCGAGGATGCCTTGAATCTCTGGGCAAGTTAAGTTCATCCCGGCGGCTCAGTACTGAAGGGAGAAGGCGGGTTAGTTAGGCTGTGAGGTGGGAGGGGATACAGTTTGTGCTGCTCCGCCAATAGGAGGAAGAAGGTGTGTCATATGTAAATTAACCCTGGAAGCCCAGGCCCTCCCCGAAGCCAAGCCACGCCCCCTTCTCTAGGTCCCTGCAGGAATAGTGAGTGAGATAAATAGCTGGGAGCTAGAGCTTGCTAGTTGATCTAAAACTGAACTAAATATTTCCTGATTTCTTGAGAAAGGTTTGGAAGGTGGCGTGGGGGTGGGGAACTAAAATTTCATACCATCACGTCAGTGGGTAGGCTTTCTCTCTGCCCAAATGTTAGCTTAATTGTAAAGAAGACTGCAGTCACGTAGCGCTTTGCATCCAGGGAGCTCTAAGAACTTTATGCATCATTTATCGTGAGTCTCGGTTTGCAAAAGATCAGTTACCTGAGGCAAGGGCGTAAAGTAGGGGATGCTTGAGGCATATTTACACCATTAATCAGTTAAGGGGGGGAAGGACACAAAACCTCTGGTTTCGCGGTTTCCTCTGCATCTGAAGCCCCTTTTCGCAGTCCTCTCGGTAATGGAAGTTCCTTTATTTGTCTAGCACTAAAGGGGCAAGGAGACAGGTTTATTTTCTCACCCAAAAGTCCTTTCTAAAGCAGCTGGTCAAATACCTGCAGAATGCACAGCCCTGTTCTCTAAAGGTTCAGAGAACAAATTGCCTTTTAAAACTATTGGTCTGTACCGGCCTCTTCCACAGCTAAAAAATGGTGAGTCAGGGTTTTTGCGTTCGCGCCCTGGAGAGAGAAGGCAGATGTAATTGGGGAAAGCTCTGGCTGACCGGATGGGAGGGGGACAAGGCCAATGGGAGAGCCAGATCGCCCGAGGAGGCCAGCAATGCGCGTGCGGGTCGAATGCGGTTCCCGAGGCTAGACACCCCGAAACCTGCTCCCCAGTGAGAACAAAGGCAGGCGCCGAGCAAGAACCTGATTGGTGCCAGGTCCTCACCGGTGTCCTGGGGCCCCGGAGATAACTTGTTTCAGCCACTGACGCGGAGCTCTGCGTTCCCAACTCCCCGCCCGGCCTGGGCTGCAGCCATACAAGACTGTGCGCTATGACATCACCTGTTTTCCCTCTTTAGAGCACGATCAGTATTCTCAGCTTCTCCCGTTTTAAAGGTCGCTAGTGCACGCAGATTTGTGAAGGCCTGCAGTTAGCAGATTGAGTCTGTGATGATTGAGAAGAACCGTCTCGCTGGTTTGCATTTCTTTCTTTTCTTTTTAATTTAAAAAAACTACCCCGGTTTCCTTTGGGATTCAGTGTGGTGTTGTGATGCAAAATCAGAAAGGTACACTGGGAGGAGCTAGCAAATTTAGCATATCAAAGCTATCAGACCAAACTGTGTGGTTAAAACTGCCAATCTCATTTTTTCAACAGCTGCCTCCTCTCTGTCCTTTTTAGAGACCAACAGGCATAAACCAAAGTCTACACAAGGAACAAAGGAAGTGGAAATCTGCCAGTGTTGGGTTTAAATAGATTAAAATAGACTGGAAAACCCCCAAAGGGTCTAAGTTATGTGGTTGGGTAAATGTGTTGATCCATTAAACTAGTGATAGCTAGAAGTCTCTTCATGCTATGTAGACTAGAATATAGCTTAGAATAGCAATAGAGTGGACTAGGTGCTTAAAGTTCAGGTAGGAGAAACTGTAAAAGCAAGAAAGTTCAGCAACGGGGGAAATTACCAAATACTTTCCAATGCAAAAAAACACACACAAAAAAAACAACCAAGAAATTCGGGAAGAAAGTTAGCAAGGCCCAGTTTTCCCAGAATTAAAATATGTATGTGTCTCAATTTAGTGGTAAATTTCTTGGACTACATTCCTAACTGGTTCTGTCCTATAAAGCATATTTTATGTGAATACATTTTAAAGGAAAGAAGAAATGGAAAGATGAAGTCAGTTTTTGTGCAGAGATTGAAATTCCTCAAATAGCATATTAGCTTCTAATTATTTTATTTTTTGGTTGTTTTAGAAATAAACACTTCACAAGTCTCATTTTTACCACCGATAGCCAAATTAATACTAAATTGTTTGCAAAATGGCTCTAGTTTCAATAAACAGCCTGTTATTTACATAGGAGCAGAAAAATAATAATTAACCTTATAGGCTCTATTAAATCTTTCTGGAATTTTTCATAAGGAAAATTTGCCTGCAATACTTGGGTGAGTTTCTCTCTTCTCAATATCCCCCAAATATCTTAAGATTCCTGCACTGCCAGGAACTGACCTACCTGACTCACCTGGTAAGGCTGCTGGGAATCTTGTAAGCAAGGTACCAAGCTGATATACCCAAAGGTTTTATTGGCTTTCGTAAGACAGTTCCTTAAAGCTGTCTGCTCATATCTGAGTCTATGCATGTCTTCTTCAAAGATGACATTTCAGTCAAAGCCTTGGTAATATAACCAGTTTCCAATTATGTCCTATTAGAAGGAGAACAGATTCTTATTGAACTTATGCAAATTTGCCATAAAAAAATAAGACTCACTGAGAGCTTCTGAATTCTGGAGTTATTAAATAGGGATAAAAAGACAAATCTTTCATATCTGCTCACGTAGGGTAGTTTACCAAATTGCTCTAAGTCATAGGTAGCGCAAGAGAAAAGGTTTCCTTGTATCTGGTAAACAGAAGATTAAAGACCCGGTAATATTTCAAACAAAAAGTCATAAAAATGATAATTATCCTTATCAGTCCCCTGTTATTAATTCTTGTTGATCTTGATCTTTTTGTTAACAGTTTTATGAATCCAGTTTTTCCATTTGTTCTCTCAACTTTGCCTGATGATTAAGGGTGTCAGTGTCAGTGATAATTCCAGGAAGTTTGTAAGGCTTTCCATCACGGCTTGTATGATTTTCCCAGTGAACTGTGCCTTGAACACTAGAAATTGTGGAAGATATATCCACAAGTGGGAAATACATTTTCTAATAGTTTCTTTGCTACTGTGAGGACATCGGCCTTACAGCAGAGGGAGGCTTCAAACCATCTGGAAAACATTCATACAACAAGAACATATTGATAACCTATACTGAGTGGCAGTTGGATGAAGTCCAGCTTACACGCACTATGCTGGATGAATGAATGCAAAAACTGAAAATGGAGTATGCCATAGGTTGTCTTGGGTTTCCCATAACTCCAACTGTTCATTTCATGTACAGCCACTGTGTCTCCATCTTAGTTTCTCTGATTTAGGAGCAGACTGTTGCCATGGTACAAGGGCATCAAGACGGCTAAAGTCTGGCACTGAGGGGTCATTTCTGCAGAAGCAGAATAGACTTCGTCCACATGTGCCACAGTCTTTATAGATGTTGTTGCTGCTGCTTTTGTATGTAAGTCAACCAGGTGATTATCTTGATACTCAGGTTCAGTCACTTTAATGTGAGCCTCAGTTTTGATGACAGACATCTTAAGCCAGGACATATCAGACTTCCAGATTTTCACACAATTTCTGGAGCAATTATAACATACACTATACAGATACAACATAAAGAAGGCTTAATGTTTATACACTTAAATAGAGTCACAAATTATTATAAAATAACACAATTATCTATATGACTAAAGTAACAATAAAAGATTTTAAAGACAAATACAGAATGCTAGCTCTTATCATGGAGAAGATTCAGTTTTCTTAACTTATCAAAGACTTGATTAAGGCAACATAAAACAGATTTTTTTTATAGAACACAGAAACTTTGCTTTATTAGATGAAAACTTTTCACAATATCTTAATAGGAGCAGACAAATAGTCCAAGAAGATGTTTTCCTTTTAGCAGATGAAAGACTATTGATATTAAAGCTTATTTGTAAAAAATCTTTTTAACAAATTTCTTCAGTCTTATTCATCTTGGTCACATATTAAATTTTTTCCCCAAGATTTCTTTTCCCAAATCTTCTACAACTTTCCTTGTCTCTCTTAGTTTGTCTCTTCTTATTCAGAAAGAATCAATTTATTTTAGAATAAACCATTTTCTTTTAATTCTCTCAAAAATGCATTTCCATACTTTATTTATTGTTTTAAAATATTTTTATTGATTTCAGAGAGAACAGAAGAGGGAGAGAGAGATGGAAACATCAATGATGAGAGAGAATCATTGATCGGCTGCCTCCTGCATGAACCCACTTGGGATGGAGTCTGAAACCCAGGCATGTGCCTAGATTGGGAATTGAACTGTGACCTCCTGTTTCATGGGTCAACACACAAACACTGAGCCATGCAGGCTGGGCAACATCTCCATACTTTTTACCTTCTTCTGCTGAAAATGCATTATTCCATATTAATTAGAACTCCTAACCTTTAGAAACCTTAATTTCTAATGACAACTAAACAGTAAGCAATTAGCATTCTTTAGATTGGCAAATTTATGAATACATTTCATAGCTTTTAGAAACAAAGTTTCTTTTAGTGACAAATATGTTTCCTAATTTTTAGAAACATATGCTTCCTCAACAAAACACAAGACATATTCATTAGCAAATCCAAATTTATCTTACAGCTTCTCTGTAATAAGAAGT